AGGCAGCAGCAAAACTCAAACAAGCAAACGCAAACACTAGCAGCAGAAGTGCAGCGGCTGCAGCAGCTGCGGCGGATAGAGCAGCAGAAACACCAAGAAGCAGCAGCCCTGCTGGGAAAACAGTATGCTGCTGCTGCTGCTGCTGCTGCTAATGCTAGTGCTGCTGCTGCTGCTTATGCTAACGCTAATGCCGCTGCTGCTGCCAATGTTGCTGTTTCTCGTGCTCTCGCTGCTGCTGCTAATGCTGCTGCTGCTGCTGCTGCTGCTGTTGGGCCATTCGCTGTCGAGTGTGCTGTGGCAAGGCTCTAGAGTGTAGCCAAAGTCTAAATAGCACTCCGCTGCTGCCTCTGCTGCTGTTTCTGCTGCTGCTGCTATTGTTGCTGCTGCTGCTGCTCCTGCTCCTGCTGCTGCTGCTGCTGCAGCCTGCGAGAGGCGTCGGAGAGAGCAGAAGCTGCTGAGCAGCAGACAGCAGCAGCAAAGAAGGAAGCAGCTGAAGCACTCGAAAGGCTTACACAAATGCAGGTGAGACCAGCAGCAGCAGCAACAGCAGCAGCAGCAACAGCAGCAGCAGCACAGCAGCAGCAGAAACAGCAAAAGCAGCAACAGCAACAGCAGAAGCAGCAGCAGCAGCAGCAGTGGGGGACCCTCATGCCATTTTTGCTGCCCCACAATGATTTACACGTAGGGTGTAGGGTTTAGGGTTAAGGATGTAGGGTTTAGGGTTTAGGGTGTAGGGTTTAAGGTGTAGGGTGTAGGGTTTAGGGTTTAGGGTTTTCCCCGCTGTTTTTCAGGAAGAAAGGGACGAAAGAGAGAAAGAATATGCGAAGAACAAAGAAGAAATAAACCGAATGCAGCAGGACCTGAAAAAACTCCAAACGTACACAAACCCTAAACCCTAAACCCTAAACCCTAGACAACACACACATCTACTGCACAAAGGCGGCTCCAGCGGCTGGCTTTTGCTACGCAACTTTAAGGCCTAGAGTTTAGGGTTCCGCGCCTGGGGTTTGTGGCCTAGTGCTAAGGGTTTACGGTTTAGGGTTTAGGGTTTAGGGTTTAAGGTTTGCGCGCAGGGCGCTTGCTGCTGCTGAGGAAAAAGGAGAAGCAGCAGCAGAAGTGCTACTGAGCGAGAGAGAGCTCCGCTGTGCTGCTGCTGAGGGTTTTAACAAATTAATTGGGAAGTTAGAAAGCGAGGGTTTGGAGAAG